TGACCCAATCACAGCTGGAAGTTTCCTGGATGTACAGCAGATGAGCAGCACTATGTTAGAATGACACACAGCATGCAAATGTCAGGAGCCTCTTGCATGAAAGCCGTGATGTCCTCACAAACCTAAAACAAATCCAGCTGCCGTTCAAGCAAGACTAGCATGAGCTGGATGACTGAGAAGTTCCAGTTCCAGTTTCTTTTTGAAGCCTCTGACCTCTGAAATATTCAAGCATCAAAGGGTTCCTAACTTGAGAATGAACCAGTGTGATGCTCAGCATTGTACACTTGTATGAAGATCTATGAATGTGTGTTACTAGACAGACAGACAGAAGAAATTAGAAACAACATAGAATAAAGTGGGTGAATAAAGCGAGCTGTGTAATTTTGCTTCATTTGCTTTGAGTGCTCAGAGTAGAAAATCACTATGTAAGAACCATCAATCATCACAATCCATTAACCTTCTCTGCCAGTAGTCTGCAGACTCACAGTAGGTTTACAGACCAATATAGCTAACAGCTCTCTAAACAGACAATCTTGTTGGGTTGGAAAGCGATTTTCAATAGTTGCCAGAAGAATGATAATGCATATTTAAAATGTTTTAAATTACTTGTTGTCAAAGCTGTTTTATGAATGTTAAACACTTCTGCGATTAGCTTGTTTGTGCTGTTTGTGTCTGAGGGTCCATTAGTCTAAACTAGTGCAAATCAGTCTTAACTAAAGAGATTTTCAGTTTACAGAGCCAATAAAGATAAAACCGATGATGAAAGCTGTCACACTGATATTTAAACTTTTCATTTAATAACATGGAGGAAAAGATTTCCACCTTAAAAGCTGCAGGTAGCTGCTGTTTACATCTTACAGAGAAAAGTTCAAAGTTGGGAGTAGTTAGTGAGTGCTGACATGAGAATTGAGCTCACAGTCGATGTTTGTGCTCCTCTTTTCTCTCCGTGGCCTCAGAAATGCTCACTCTCTTTAAACATTGCTTAATTTTAAATGATAACACTGTTAAATGGCTTTTGTTGAAAATATGAATTCAAATGGAGAGAAAATGATATCATGAGAAAATTTTTACCAGCCTTTCCATCAGTAAGATAATAAGGAGAAAGTTTAAAATTTTAAAAACAAAGTGCCTCTAATGTCTGAGTGAAAAGAAAAATTTAAACCTGCTGCTGCTCTGATTCCACTCTACCTCGTTGGTCCAACTTTGAGTCCGTTACTGTGAACTACAGCGGCAGGTTTGTGCTGTCTGTGTTGGAGACGATCATCTGACACAGAGTTCAGAAAAGTGAAGTGATACGATAAGCAGGAAGGAACAAAAGACAGAGCCGTGTTTTGAGGAAGTTTGGATTTAAAAAAAGCAGAAATGAAGTCTGTACTTTATAAACATGTAGAAATGTTTGTTGGAGGCTTTCTGTGCTGTTACTGAGTGCAGCATTAAAATGATGTTTCTATTGTAGTGACACTTTAACCTGGTTCCACTGCAGATCACAGAAACACTCAGTGTGTTAGTGGAAGTTGTTTTTAGCTGAGCTATGTCCTTAATCCAATATCAAGTGAAGAGTTTGCTGCAGAGCAGGAAGCCTCTTTATGACAAACTCATGTTACACTTTATCAGCTCCATGTTTCTTCGTCTACTTGTTTTAACTGGAAACTTTGACTTCCTGTCTCACAACTCCTCTTCTTTAATGATTGTTTGGAGCTGATTTTACACATTTATTTAGATATAATCAGTTCAATCTTGTTTCCATGAAACTCATCATTATTCTCTAAATTTTCCACTGACTGACGCGGAAGAGCCTGTTGTCTGTATATTTATACATTTCTGAAATCACATTGTAATGACGTATACAGAACACAATAAATTATGTTTGTTGGCCAAGTATATGTGGAGACACATACAAGGAATTTGGTTCTGGTAGATGGTGGCTCTCAAGCACAGCAATGTAAAACACACACACACACACACACACACACACAC